GTTGGTTTATTTAGAGAAGGGTTTTGTAAAATTCTCTTCAAAGAAGAAGGAAGAATGTGTGCTCATTGCTGTGGAAATGACTGCATCACATTTCTCCAGAGAGTAACTGAATGCTTTAACATTTTATTTCATTTTAGGTATTAAGTTGCATAGTTGTTAATAAAATAGAACAGTGTCATGGTATTTTGCTTTATTTTTCTCTCCAATCTATTCTCCAGAGTCAAAAATTACCATTTCAAACAGCAAATAATTGTTATTTCTTTCTACTGTCTAACTCCTTTTAAATAGCCTCTCATTTCTTTCAGGATAATGATCAAAGTATAACTTCCACATGAATACATCACCATGGCTTTATTTATGACTTCTTCAGTTTACATCCTGTCCAGACCTATTTTTCTCTTTTCTACCACTTAACACTAGTCTCCGTAATCACCATAGATGTACCTGCCACAGTGCGGGTGCCCAGTTGATCTTACTGTGGAGGACCTTTGTACCTTCCTCTTCCCTTGGACTATTATGGGGTGCTCATCCTTCATTTAACAACTCAATTGTCATTTTTTTAATGAAGCCCCTAATACCATCAATTAAGTCAAAATATCCTATTCTGGGCAATATTTTCACCCCCTTGGATTTCCTTTATAGTATACACCATTGTCTCAGTGTAAATCAATTTCAGTGATATCATTCCCCCAGATTACACTAGAACTCTAAGAGAGAAGCATCTTTGCTATTTTAGTATAATGTTTCCTTGGAGCTTAATGTAGTGATTGATACAGAGTTCAAGCTCAGAAGATGTTTCCAACCATACATACGAAAAGCTCAGTTCATTGTGTTCATTAGAAAGGGCTTTATGAATAAGTCTCAGTAATATTTGTTGCAACACACAAGAATTTAAATTCCCTAAGTGATTACATGGATATAGGAATAAAGATATACTGACTTAGATGTGAGGGAATTTATTACTTGTGAATTTGTGGGTTGTTTTCGTATGATTTGAGGTGCCATTTAGGCTTCCATCTCCCATTCACAATTCAAAGGAGAGATAATTTAATTTATGTAGCTTTTCTGGAGAAAACAGAGTTTGAACTCATGGCTTGATGCTTGCTAGACAAGAGTTCTTTACTTGAGCCATGGCAACAGCCCTTTATGACTACTTATTTTTCAGGTAGGATCTCACATTCTTGTGAGGCTTGGCCTTATATCACAATTCCTCACTCTATGTCTCTTTACCATGTGAGATTGCAATTGAGAACCACTATACTTATAATCCCTATTATTAGGCTACCTAAAAAAATAATTTCCATTGTTAACTTTTAGAAAACTGAAAGGACATGAAATAAAATAAAATACACTATGTGTAGCAATGGCTGTCCAACCTAAACTATTCAGAGAAAGTTAAACTTGATGTGTACGTATGCCATCCCCATTTTGTATAGAAACTAGTGAAAAGAGATATAACAAGGTTGATTGACATTATATGACAGGGTTTATCTCTGTGTGTGATTCAGTCCATGATGTGAGCACAAGCTCATGAGCCCATAATTCAAAATTGTTTTGAGCTTGTTATACATCTCCAGGATAGTGGCATGCTGAGAGTGCTTTTATCTCTCCCTTTACCTCTTCTGTATATAAACACAAAGTCTAATTGTTATAAATCCAGCAATTCCTTCAAACAATAAATTTAAACATCTTTTGAAAACTGCCCCTTGGGTGTGAAGGGGAAGACTTAAAGTATCAGTATTGTCAGTACCTTATTTGCCTAATCAGAAAACAGAGTTTAACAGTTCTCATATTTCATATACTGTAATGGCATGGATCTGTTCCAGAATGTATATTTTTATTTTATTTGTTAGCCGATTTTAATTACACCTCAAGAGAACCTAAGTAGTGTCTGACTTTCAATACAAGATTATGAGCACAATTGTTGCAGTCTGAAATAACAGTTGTGTGTGTATGTGTGTGTGTATTTGTGTGTATGTGTTGGTTCTGGGTCTTGTACTTAGTGCTTGAATACTGTCCCTTGAGCTTTTATGCTCAAAGATAGTGCTCTACCACATTGAGTCACAGTACCCTTTCTGGATTTTGGTAGTTAATTGTATATGAGTCTCACGGAATTTCCCGTTCAGGCTGGCTTCGAACCATGATATTCAGTTCTCAGTCTCATAACTAGAATTACAGGTGTGAGCCACTGATTTCCAGCTTTCTATTCCATTTTAAGATAATTTTACTGAAACCAGAAGGTATAACAATAACAACCTAAAATTATTCTGGCAAATACTGGTGTCTGGAATTCCTAAGATCTCATATGGCTGAGGTTCCTCCATCTTCTTTCCTTTGTCCTTTTCTTTGAAATGTAATGAAATATTGATAGACAGCAACACTAGTGTCATTGATACATTGGTTTTACAGGCAATTATGCCCCTAAAAGGCAGTGAAAGGCACTGACAGGATAATCAGAATGAAAGTCAGGAGCCTTACTGAGCTTCTATGCCTGGATATCCTTCTTTCCTCTGACACTGTTTGGTTGTTTCTAAGAGAGGTCTGGCTTATCAGAGTTTACAGTATTTTTTGATACCCTATTCAATTCACTTATCATTCAAATGTACTTTTTGATTAAGATATAGGTTTATTAGGACATGTTTTAATGGTGAGTGGGATAAATCACCCTGACATTATCATTAAGATTCTACATAAGATTTCACAGGCTGAAATGTGCTGATTTATTAATCTACTTTTTCCCTGTATAAAATTAGTGATTTAGACCACTATTTTTGAAGGGAGGTAGCTCCAGGTGCACACACATACAAACACACACATACCACAAGTATATAAAGAAGAAACAAAGGCAGGGTTTGATTGAACCCAAAAGGATGAAGGCAATTGGGTACAGTGTCTCCAAATGAGACTTGTATTAATGTCTTGCTTTTGACTTTCTTTGGTAGTTGGTATCCTTTTATTCCTACTAGCAATCTTTTCACCTTTTTCATCCATGTAATTCATATGTTCTTTAGACCCTGAAACACAGGCTCCTCAGCTCAGTTTCTAAAAGCAGTAATTACAACAAAGGACAAATAAATTTATTCTAATGATAGTTTTTGACATCAACTAGGCCGAATGGAAGGAAGACTAGAGTATTAGTAAAGCAAACTTCTGTTTATGTCTATGAGTGGGTTTTTAGAATGATGAGCCTGTGTATCAACTCTGTAGTTTGGATAAGTGTCGCCAAAGGTCCATGTGTTATAAAAGCGGTCCCCAATCCACTATGTGTGTGTGTGTGTGTATGTGTGTGTGTGTGTGTGTGTGTGTGTGTGTGAGTCTGTTGGTCCTGGGGCTTGAACTCTGGGCCTGGGCGCTGTCCCTCAGCTCTTCAGCTCAAGGCTAGTGCTCTACCACTTGAGCCACAGTGCAACTTCTGCTTTTTTCTGCTTATGTGGTGCTGAGGAATCAGACCCAGGGCCTCATGCATGCAAGGCAAGCACTCTACCACTGAGCTACCTTTCTGGAACCCCCCCATCCCCGCCTTTCCCCCCCTAGCTGTCCCCCATCCCCCTCCTTCCCCCTGGATCCACCCTTGAGAGTGATTGAACCTATAAGAGATAGGGCCTAGTGAGAAGTCCTTAAGATATTAATGCTGAGAAGAGTTGTTTGTTTTCTTGTTTAATCTAATTGTAAATGAATGAAAGGTAGATTGCATTGGGTTTCTGGGAAATTCCAGATGAGAAAAACTGTATTTGCCCTATTCCATTGAAGATGTAGTTGAGAAAAATTCAGTGGGACAGAGTGGCAGCCAATCACAAAAGATAAAGACATATCAACATCCATGGTCTTTGGATCTATGAGCAAGAAATTTGAAAGAGGACCTTGGTGCCAATGATAAAAGGATCCACAAGTACAGTATTGGAAAGCCTAATTATTAGCCCAACAGTCAGAAATTGTGAATCTCAAAATTTTCTTCTAGTTGTATCTATATAACTCTGTAAGATGTGTTTTTTTCCATTTCAAGTAAAGGTATGAGCCAGATTTAATCTCTCAGGGAAATGCTAAACTATATAAATCAACCCCGCTCTGAGTAATTCATTTTTTTACCTCAGAATTTTGCAAATGCCAGAGGCATTGAAACACAATAAGTGATTGTATATTGAATTATATCTATGTCTCTTCTTTTACCTGATCCCTAATTGATAACAAAATAGATAGCAAAATATCATTCCTAGTCTATGAAGATTATATTGGTGGATTCTATCTCATGCTTAGCTTTAGTTTTCCTCCTAACATTGTATAAAATATTCAGTTCTGCTCTTTCTGGTATGTGCTTCCTGAGCTTAAATTTAAATGTACCAATTTACAAAATGGAAGCAAAGGGTAAGTGAACAATTTCATTTTACACAGTGACTTATTGTAAAACAAGTAAGAAGAAAGACTAACTAGTTGGAGATTGCAAATTTTTGGCAATATGAGAACACTGGATCTCTGGATCAACCAGACTTCAATAATGCAGATGAAGCAGTTAATGACTTCTTACTAAGGGGGACAAGGCATTCTTTTGTGAGTATATAGCCCACTAAATCCATAGTTGCTGATCTCTCCCCACCACAGAGACAGAACCTTTTGTCACAGCCAAGTGAGTTCATGCTGGTAATTTTGTGAAAGCTTTTGGAGACAGAGCTCTGTAAATATGGGAATATTTCATATTGGCTTTTCAATGACCTAAACCCGGTTCATATTATTAATAAATTTCTTTTATGTTCAAAATCTGGAGCATTGAAGGAGAATCACCATGACATGACTTCTGCATGTAAGAGAAGTCCAAGATGCAGATTCCTGTTCTGAATCATTTCCTGAGCTTCTTCATTATTTACAGAGATTCCTGAAATGCAAACAACCAGTGTTATCAGGCAAAGGCAGATCCCCTGAGCCTTTTATCATTCTGGCTGCAACTCTGCATATTTCCTTTATAACCAGACAGCATACCAAATGAAGCTAGACTCTTTAAAGGGAAATGAGGCAATTGGAATGTCAATTTTATTTAGCAATATATTATAAAAATGAAACAGCATATCCGGCTGATTGACAAAATCCATCCAACTGTTAAAGGCAAAACAAAACTATCTTAAGAGGTACAGTTATGCAGATATTACTTTTACCTATAGGCAGATATTTAAGGAAAGACAGAGAACATTAGAGCAGAATGCTACATCCAGAATTGTTCAAGTGATATAATTGAGAGAGATGAAGAGACTCAAAAGCAAGGATTTCATGTCATGTTTTCTCTCTTTTTCTTCAATGAGCCTTTTAGCTTCTTCCACAGACTATCTTTTCTCTTCAGTTTCCTTTCCATCAAGGAGGGCATGGACTCCTTCTTGCGAATCTCCCTCACTAGGCCATGAAAGGCATCATCGATACAGAATCTGAGGGCTGCAGAGGTCTCAAAAAAAGCACAGTTATATTCTCGAGCAAGACTCAAGCCTTCTTCTGTAGATACCTAAGGGAAAAATAAGGGATATTAAAAGAAGCAAAGAAAAGCTCTTAGATTAAAAAATGTTGTCTACTACCCATGGGCCACAGTTTCATGAAATATAAAACGTGAAAATTGGCTTTGAGGAAGAATCCTAGAACTTCTGAACTCAAAGGTCAAATGGGAAACCAGAATGGGTGCCAAGACAATTTATTAAAACTAAAATATAATGAGAATAGATATCAGCTTCAAAATTCAAAAGGTGTAACAGCACAGAGGTTAAAAGTAGGGCTTTATAGTACTTCATTTCAAATGCCAAGTTAACTACCTCGTGGTTCTGCCAACATGAATACATTTCTTAACCTTTGTTCTCAATTTCCTCATCTGTATCCTAAAATAAAAGCAACAACCTCAAAAATGTTTTGTTTGGTACAATGAGATTATCCATAAATGGGGTATAAATATGCTAGGTACACATTTAAGAATTTGCAAATGACTATGTGGTAGGTAAACATTGCCAAAACAACAATTTTGCAACAAAGAAAAATTGAAGCAAACACCATCGTTTTGACAACTAAGACTTTCTCTAGAAGAGCACTTTGGAACAGGTTTAAAACTTGATGACTACTTGTGGCATGTAATGCCCTGTTTTCTTTTGTTTTTGTTTTTGAAATTGTAATGGATCTTTGGTGACTAAAAAAAAGCAGGTCACACATGTGGCCTCATTTATCATCTCATTAGTACATCACAGCTCCTGGTACCTAAACCATCAGTGAAATGTTAGAAAATTTGAATTACAGAGCTTCTGCATGACAAAGAACATAGCTAGCAATTATCAATAGAAAGCCCATAGATTGGGAGAAGATCTTCACTAGCCATACAACTGACAAGGGTCTCATATCTAAAATATACCTGGAATTTAAGAAATTAAATCACCCAACAACAAATCTTCAGAGAAACAATAGCCCAATAAATAAGTGGGCTAAAGACTTAAAGAGAAACTTCTCTGAAGAGGAAAGAAGGATGGCCAATAGACACTTGAAGAAATGCTCAACCTCTCTAGCCATAAAAGAAATGCAAATCAAAACAACATTGAGATACCACCTCACCCCAGTTAGAATGGCTATAATCAAGAATGCTAATAACAACAGATGCTGGAGGGGATGTGGACAGAAGGGAACCTTACTGCAATGTTGGTGGGAGTGTAAACTTGTTCAACCACTTTGGAAAGCAGTATGGAGGTTCCTCAAAAGACTCCACATAGAGCTCCCCTATGACCCAGCAATCCCACTTTTGGGCCTTTACCCAAATGATCACAGACAAGACCACACTAAAGCTACCAGCATAACTATGTTTATTGCAGCATTATTTCCCATAGCTAAGATATGGAACCAACCCAGATGCCTCTCAGTAGATGAATGGATCAAGAAAATGTGGAATTCTATACCTCCATCAGAAAGAATGACATTGCCCCATTTGTTAGGAAATGGAAAGACTTGGAAAAAAATATATTAAGTGAAGTAAGCCAGGCCCAAAGAAACATAGGTCCCATGGTTTCCCTTATTTGAAATAATTAGTATATGTCTGAGTCAAGCAGAAAAGGTCAGATAAGTTGATATTAGAAGAAATGAACCCCAAGATAAGTATTCAAATGTATTTTTTCTTTCATGGGATTGTTCCTAACATATTTATAAGGTGATTTCTTTGCTGCTTTGTATGTCCCTCTCCCACAGTATAACCCATGCTTTCACTGTATTTGATGTTGGTATAATTTGTGGAAGGGAAGGGAAAAACAAATTGTGTAAATATGGATACAAGTGGACCCATTACAACAATGAGATGTACAAGTCATTATGTGGAAAAATGAACTTTACAACTTTGATGGAGTGGGGAGGATGGTGGGGGGAAGATCAGGTAGGAGGGCGGGGTGCATGGGAAGGGGAAACAAAGGAAGAGGCAACAACGCTTGATAAGAAATGTACTCATTATCTTTCCCATGTAACTGTAACCCCTCTGTATGTTATTTTCACAGTAATAAATGAACAAATAGACAAAATTTTTTAAAAAATTAAAATTTGAAAGAATGATCAATCAAATGACTCAGGGTTTATCAAGTATTAGCTAAGATGCAAACATCAATTATCCATACATATTTGAACAGTATGGGAAGCTGGTGTTAGCATGCCTGCTCCAAACGGCTCCCATAAACCCCTGCACTACACTCTCAGACCTCCATGACAACGTCAGGGACTATCACACGTACAGCTCACTGACTGCCTGTGCTGCATGGTCACATAACTCAGAAAGAAACTATGCTTATGGGATGTTGACATTTTGCAATCATTTGTAATCAGAGCAGAAACCTGCTTTCTTAACTGATCCAGCATGTCATATGGCTAGTGAGTGGCTGAGCTGGAGTGTAAAAAAATCTATCAGATCTATCTGATTTCAAAGATATGGCCTTTCATCTGAATAGATTACCTTCACTCAGGGCTGTGAAACAGAAATGAGTAACTGTCATGTTTTAACCTGTAACACACAATATATATATAGATTCTTCTCTTTTTCATTTCTGCTGCCAAACATACCAATGTTTTCTTCAGGTTCATTTCTATCTTATAATAGCTAAAGAAATGTAGCTAAGAAAAAATTTCTAACAGTATGAATAATCTGTTTTCACAGTAACTGGCTGAAGTTACTAATCTCTTTAATTTTCCAGTTGATACAAATAGTACTCTTTTCAAGTGTTTAGACACCAGCAAGACATTTGTCTTCTATCTTTCAATCATCTGTTAGAATTCCCCTCCTCTGGAAGCCAATAAAACACATTTTACAGTTAACTATAGCAACATCACTTTTCGGGTGCCATTTTTATATTAACCAGGTTTTTTGATACTTTTTTATTGTATAAATGCTGTACAGAGGGGTTACAGTTACATGAGCAAGAATGAGTACATTTCCTATTGAGCATTGTTGCCTCCTCTTTTGTTTTCCCCCTACCATCCTTTGCATACTAAAAGAGCTTCCTTATCCATGTGTCCTGAAAAAAGAAATTTTATTGGTCCATATTTTTCTAGCATCTGGGAGAACAAAATGCAAGCTCAAATTCAGTAGTTTGGATAATGGTTGGTTTGCTGCTACCTCAGTATTTTTGACTCAGGCTAAAAGAATATACATCCTAATAGTAACAGGACACAGAGAAGTAGAAAGTCAATGAGGCAGTGTATATGAGAAAAAAAGATGATCACAATCAAAGACAAACATATCTGATTTTTAAAAAATAGTTTGTAATTCTATGACTTAAATGTAAAGATGTACAGTGTGAAGTTAGAATGGAAATTTATACAAAAAGAAGACAAATAAAAAAGAAAACTGGCATAAATATCAGAAAAATGGCAGTAAGGAGAAATAGTAGAAATGTTACATAATAATAAAAGTCAACCTATAAAAAATATTACACTTAAAAATCTATATGAACTAAAAAACATAGCTTCAGCTTAACTGAATTGACATTACTAAAATCCAAAATTGTAGTGAAAGACTTATTTATTACAGGTCTCAGCACCAGAAAGAATAAGCAATGAGTCAGTAAAAATCTAGTCTATTTGAAAAAGAAATGAGCACAATTGATATATGTATATAATAAGCTTCTATAAATTAAATATGTAATTTATGCAAGTATAAATTTGTGTTATAAATTTATAATATAGTTATATATATAAATCCATACAGAAGTACATAAATGTGTGTGTGTGTATATATATATATATATATATATATATATATATACTTCTATAGTTCTTTGTCTAATTCTAATCAGTATAGAATAAATATCACAGCATGGTCTCAGTGGGGAATCTTTTTTCTGCCAATGGCCATTTGGATATTCACAACATCATTTGGGTCCATTCAAAATTATCAATATAGGCAGATGGCTGTAGGCAGCTGAAAAGATGCATTATGTGTTTGTCCCATTATATACAAAATGATTTTGTCAGCCTCATATGGCCGGTACACAGGACCTTCCCAACCACACAACTCAGTAAGCAGTCAAAAAAGGAACTGTAGCGAAATCAGATCGTATCTTGCACTAAGCGATAAATTGAAAAATATAATTTATTAAAACCTGTGGGATTGTCAAAAGCTTTGTTTAAGCTGAGAATTATATCTGTTCATTTAAAACCAATTCAATGCAGAGGCTTGTCACAATCATCCAGGTATCATCTTTACTAGATGATATGACTGCATATTTGCACCAGCCTGAGGTACATTTAAATCTGTCTTCTCATTATTTCCATAAGTAATGCAGAAATTATAGGCCTTCTGTGTCAAAGAAGGAGAGTAAAATATTTTATCTTATCTATGTTTTCTTTTAAAAAGTTATTCATATTAGATCAGTGACCTGAAGATCTTAGTTTATTTATTTATTTATTTAGGAATCTGAATGTTTGACCTTAGATTTATATATCACAAATACATTAGATAACTTGAGTCCAAGCATTTAAGAAAAAAATGTCCAACAAACAATATCTTTTAGATTTGGGATTTTTCATACTTAATAATTGTGACCAATTTGAGTGACCTTAATGTGTTGCTATAGCAACAGTTTCATGGGGAATATCTTTTTAGGAACTTTCATCCCATTAATGCTGTTCGGACAAAATTCAGAGGCAAGCTGTAAAACATATCATATGTTTTACATATTTATAAAACACATTATATGGTTTACATATTGATTCCAATATGCTTCCATATTAGATTTTTTAAGTACAATAAACAACATATTCCTCTAGTAGATCATGTTTATACAAATTTCAAACAAAATCAAATTAAATAACCAGTAGGTACTCATGTGACATGAAACACAATGTTGGAACAGAATTAAATTTTCTTTTTTTCTAGTTTCATATCAAGAAAGGTTAAGCAGTGGTTGAATGGTTTAAGATAACCTCTATTGCTCAAAAGTTCTTTCTAGTTTCTCTAGCTGGCAATTCAAATGTATATGGTTGGAGATTGTGATGTAAGAT